AAATCCCCTTATGGGGACATACATGAGGCCTGAGCAGCATCTTGCCCAGAGCTGGGAAACCTTCAGCAGTGCAGGGTTTAGTCTAAGTTTAACTTTAGCCCTCTTAGCTCATCTGGAAGGAGCCAGGCTGCTGTACTGTCTCCTCCCTCTTGTTGATGTTCAGGTAGTCACTGTATTCCTCCCTTTTGTGGGTTTGGCATGTGCGCAGCTCTGCCTGGGCAGCATAGGTGGTCCAGGATGGTGTCTGAGCTGCAGACCCCCTGCTCGTCCAGCCTGCTCTGCCTCGGAGGTTGGATGTGCTGCAGAGCCGTGGTCAATCTGAGGCCACCAGCAGCATCCCACTCCCACAGGAGCATTGCCATGGGCTCCCTGTGTGGCTACAGTCTCCTTTGCAGTGTCTGTCTCACCTTAGCCTTACCACAGGGCACACAGGCATCAGAAAGAAAGGGCAGAAACCTGACAACCAGAAAAGTTGTCTTTGCCCATCCTTATTCTATAGATAAGGGCTCAAATTGTTCTGTGCTGGTTTAGTCCAGCTGTGGTCAGTCTGCTGTGTGCTACTGGGAGACCCTCGGGTGGCTTTGGGGAGGAAAGCGCTATTAATGATTTCCCTCCTTGGGGCTATTTCTTTGCTTTGAAGAGCACCCAGCTCAGCTCTGCACTTTAACCCTGTCCCTCCCCTTCCCCTGCATACTCTGATTTTTTAAGCAGACACAGGATGAGCCAAGGGTGCTTGCCTGCACCCAGCAGTGTCGTCTCCCCGTCACCCATGTGTTCCCCCCTTTCCTTTTGCTGCCACCATCCACGACAGCAGAGTGGGAGCGGGAGCCGTGGGGCCCTCAGGGCTTCCTTGGACTTTTATCCCTTTTAGGCACTTTTTTCCCCCCATCTCGGTTTGCACAGTGGCTTTGAAGCCCCGGCGCTGTGGCAGGCGATGCCGCCCCTTCACGGCTGTGCTGTCTGTGCCAGGCTGCCGGTGACCAGAGAAAGCAATAACTCCTCCTCAGACCTTCTCCTTCACGGAGAAGCTTTGGAGAGAGAAACCCCCGCTAACGTGATTGTTTGTTTTGCGTTTGATCACTGAAATCCTGCTTTCGACCCCTCCGTGACTGTTGGCCCTGGCACAAGGTTGTGACAGGTGCCAGGGGTGGGGGGGTTGTTAATTATTTTTGGGTAGAATCTGAGCGAATTTCTGTGTCTGGGGAAGAAAAAGGGTTTTTCTTTTCCTTTGCTGTTAATACCTGTGATTATTTTATACGGTAAATTTTAAAGCTTACAGTTTTATAATTTAATAAAGGTAATGGTATTTGAGGGCAAATCTGTGGTGGCTGCAGTTGATACC